CGATAATGATGATGATGGAGATGATGATATATGGACACTATTTTCTAAACATATTACAATTACAACAATAATTTATTAATTTGTTGGTAATTTTATACATATATATATACATACATATATATATATGGTATTTACATATACATACATATATATACACGGTTACTTTTGTTAGCTAGCAAAACGACAACGACAACTTACAAATGTAGGTAGCGCTGAGGTAGTTAAACTTTATGAATGTTGTACCCACGCCCACATCCCGAGGGTCGCCAGACAAACCCTGCCTCACGACTCTCACTCAACCGACAGAGGTCACCGAGTCACCTGCCTACCTGGTTAGTTAGGTCCGCGTCCCTCAAGCTCTCCTTACTAACACACTTACACTCTTACTCTCACACAGTCAGTCTATGTTAGACCCCTGATTTGTACACCCTGTAGTTATAGTTTGTCTATTTGTTGTACTTTACCATTTTTGGTGTGATATTCTATTGGTTGTGCGGTGGGTTTTACACCGTTTTAAACATTGTTGCATTTCAACTTAATACAATATACTAAACGAAACGAAACGAAACGTAACGAAACGAAATAAACAGAAGTAATGAGTTCAACTTCAATTTCCTGTTGTTGTTTTAGTTGTACGCAATGGTTTTTATACATATACATAAATGTGTATGGTTTTATACTAACTATAAAACTTTGTTAACTATTTTAGTCCATATGTTACATACTTTTAGGTTAAGCACTTTGTAATTTAATCGCAAATCATTTGAGCAACCTTAAAAAATGGAGTAAACTTACAAAGCAAAAAAGGAAACACAAATAAAGTGGTGGTCGTAACAAAAAAAAGCAAATGTGTTATTTTATTGAGTACTAGCGTCCTGCCCCTGCTTCGCACGGGTATTTTACAAAAATTTAAATTTTATAAATTTTATAACACACGCACATACACCCTCCTTTTCGCTATGAGTGACTGAAAAAGAGTAAAATGATAAACATAGTTTGGATAGTATTTTACCTTTCGTTTTTCGTTCTTTTTGATATATTTTTTGAGTCAGAGCTTCTCTGTAAACGATACTTGATGTTTTTTATTTTGTGACATTGATTTACAGGAGCTCCGACCCATGATCGGTCAACATACAGTTGGCCATGAGTAAAACATTCCTTTCGCAGGTCGTTCCCTACAAATTCGAAGGTTTGGCCTAAGGAATTTTTAATACTTAGTTAACGCGAAAACTGTTTTTACTGGAAATTAAATGGGATGATCAAATTGATCATCGGTATTCTCGGTGTACAAGCTAGTTGATCAGCTGCTGGGTCGTTGATAATGTTTGCTACTCTTAAATTGTCCTGCAATTCCTTAATAAGCAGCGTCATCGTTTATTTTGCATGATCGGAGGGCTTTAATTTCTCAAAAGCATGATTGGAATTCCGATTTGCAGCTTCAATTCATGTGACGGCTGTCCAGAAGGGTTTAGTGATTTTAAAAATTCCTGTGGGTAATGGAATGTGTCTTCGATATTATTCGCGGTGTCGATCGATTTGTAATTTTGTATTTGGCTGGGGACTTTTGAATAATATTGCCTTAATATTTAAAGTGACAATGTTTCGAGGATGATTATGAACTAACAGGAGTTTTTTAAGGTAATTTTTTACACATTTGGTTACATTATTGGCGTTTTAGTAAGGATTCCATTCTTTTTTGCAAATATAATATAGCCTATGCTAACCGGGGATAGAGCAGCTTCCCAACAGAGAAAGAGTCCTTTAAGCCAGTCCAGTAGTATCGGAGCATTTTCAATTCAAATCAATTCAATTCAACAATCAAATCTTTCCTCTTTATAATATTAATATAGACAATTTTGAAATACAGCAATACAATTTAATAATAATTCAAAAATTGATGGCTTCTTGACGGAGACGTTTATGTATTGCACAAAAGAGTAGTCATGTTATGTCTACAATTTTTATATGCTGTACCGAAAGAGAATCTCACAAATGGAAGCGTGACGGACCCGGTGCAGTACATGCCCGTATATTCGCAATCACTTTAAAGAGATGACTCGAACCATCAAACATTTTCAAAGAAGACATAAAAGCAAGAGAGGACGCTACAGTCGAGCCCTCCCCTGTAGTTCATACTAAGTATAATCTTTTTATAAAGTGGTAAAAGCGTTCTACAGTAAATTTGAATTTGCGCATACGCCGTTTTTGCAATTACACTATACGTATAGAGAAAACAAGTCCAGTTAGGCTATGCGTATACTTAATGTTCTAGCGGCTAGTTGGGTTTGTGACCCCGCTGCGCGTCTTTAGCGAAGAGACGAACCAGTCAAGCTTTACGTTTTGCTTAAAATAATGAGAGCGCACGCTCTTTCGCTCTCACGGCAAGAACGACGCTTTGGCACGCACACTAGCTCTGTCGGTAATGTCCTTTCATTTCGCTTTCGCACTCTTTTATATAGTTCAGTGTGTTCAGTTACGTTGTGGCATCATATCCTGTTATTGGCCTTGTTCGCTGTCGCACCTCGCGTCTACCTGAGCAGAAAACCAGAGTGCATTTGGCGAATGCAGCCGAATTAAATACAAAACTGGAAAGTGTTTTGTGTCGTTTGCTTCGCTTCTTAGCTGTTCCAATTAAGTAAGCAGCTATTAGGCTGTCAAAGTGCATCCAGACCTTCAACGATATTGAAGTTGATGAACGCTTGACATTGCGGCTTTAGGATACACAAATATAGTCGTGGTGGTTCAGTTCAGTTGCCGTCGTCCCTGCATTGTCTTACGTCGCTCAACCGTTTCGCTGTGGTGTGTGCCGCGCCAGAACAAAAGTCACAGGCCGGCCTGCGAGTTATCGTTTTTTCTCTATCCGGTACCAAACGGCTTCAAAATTAACTACTCAAAGTACCATCACAACGCTATGTCCCTTTCGGCCATAGCCAAGGTAAGTTTTTCTTTAACACCAGCTGCAGCCTAGACCAATGCAAGTGCCATTGACGCGGCCGCTCAGTCGTTTTCTGCAACATTTAGCGCCTTGCCAGCGCAGCCAAGAAAAAAATCATTGCCGAAAAATCACTCATACCCATCTGATGTGCTCCGACCACTGGTTTGAGTTCCACTCATACCGCCATGTGGATGTGTACGATGGCTCTGCGCATGTGCCGATTACATGCGGCTGTCCAAAGCTTTTTTCGCTGGCGTACACACTGCGAATAAGAATGCCAGGGTTGCCAGGATTCAGCTTAACATACACTAATCTCTATAGCACACAAATGTATTCAAATAGGATTGAAAAAGGGCAGCAGTGGGTGTCAAATTATTAGAGCTCCGTAAGCTCTAGTATTTCCTGTTTTCAGTTCGACTAGTTGTCTTAAATATGCCTCGGTTATTCTGTGTATTTGTATTTCTCGCCTCTTCGATTCCTTCCAGCCTAGGTTACTTTTTGCTTTCCCAATCACTGTTTAGCAGGAGGACCTTTTAAGTGATAGATATTGGAGGTCACAAGGGAGTTCTTCTGAGGGACTTTTTGTAAAAAATAACTCAAAGATAAGTTTCATTAGTAAATTGAAAGCTTAAATTTAAGAGCACATAGCACAGTTAAAATTGCGTCGGGCTGTCGACAACCCTGGCCAGCGCTTAGAACTCAAACTGCTCTTTCAACAACAACCCCTAAATTGGCACCCCAAGCAATGTTTGCTGCTTGAAAACAGGAAAGCTGCTCAAAGCTGCTGCATACAACACAACAAACTTTTGAGCTATTTCCGTGCTAAGCGCGCGCTTCCTTTGAGCGCCTGTAAATGTCCTTGGCGCGCTTCTGACTCTCGCTCCCATCGGCAACGGCAGTGGCAGTGGAAGCGACAGCGACAGCGGCCACGATAACGACAACTTGGTTAAGGTTAATGCCCCTAGCCGACCTTGATGTGCGACATACTTCGGGATACTTCGGCACCGGCCTACTGCGCGTTTGTTGCTGCCACCGCTGTTAGCCGACTCGGATGCTTTAGACCAAAAACTGAACTTTCTCATAGGTTCATTGAACTCTCCCATTGTTTTTATATATATATATATATATATATATATATACATAATTTATGTGTACGTGTATTTGGGCCTGGGTGGGCGTTAGGCGTCGCTAGGTTCCGGCAATGTAGTCCAGCGTAGAAATTACGAATGTATGTGTGTATATCTCTGTTCCTGTACTCTTTGGAGGCAGCTGTTGTTGGGCGCTATTTTTGGTTTTATTTCACTTCAGTATCTCCGTTTATTAATTATCATTATTAGTAAGGGGTCAAGTATATCCTACTTGTGGGGCCATGAATCAAGTGGGTGTAAAAGAATGCATACATATTTCATTCAAAATTGTTCACTTGATATAGGCCACAAATTAAAGGAAGCTATAGCGAACAATGCCTTCAATAATAATCATATAAAGAATAAAAAGACAAAGGTCTTCATTTGAGGAATAAATTCATAGGTAAAAACTCACCTGTTACTATTTAGCATTCAATTCTATGTATCAGCTTATAATATACCTTGAGTGACAAAAGAAACCAAATATCATAACAGCATCTATTATTATTTTGGAATATATTGAAGAATTGTTTAAAAATGCACCTTGCCCATCTAGTTGATTTTTTTTTTTTTTTTTAACGACAGTTCTTTCCCAAAATGTCTCGAATAAAGAACCAAATTGCAAAAAGTAATACATAAAGTAATATATCTTATATCAAAACGCAACAGAAAGTCCAAATATATCCATCGGACCTCACACAAAAACATTAATTTCTAACCTGAGTAGATACACAATTATGTTTTAGTTTAATTTTTTGTATATTAGTTTATCATCTAATGAACGCGAAGATGATAAACTGTAGAAGGATTGCATACTTTTGGGTGCTGAAACTATTTAGAGCAACATCATCGATAGCTTATACATACAGAATGTTGCTGTTATCGGGAACTTATGCAGCCCTGTCGTTTTGTTTTTTTCTCAAACGGAGGGGGACTTGTTCTATAATCTAATTAATTAACAACTGAAATCGAACGTTTAAGCCCTTAAAATGAGCAAAATAATTGCAGAACAAGTTTGACTTGTTTTATTTCAGTTTTGTGTTAGTTGTTGTTTGTTTATGTGGGCTACAGCACCGCAAGCTCGTTATCAGCGCAACCTGTTTTCTAAAGCTGCATAAATTAAGTCAACACTTAGAATTCACTACAAAATGGGTCTACTGCGAAATCTAGTCGACAGAAGCATCCAGTTCAGTGGCACTGCTAAACAGATTTGGCAGCCAACTTGCAATCGCTTGCTACCCTCAATTTATAAAATGTCCACTAATGCGAATGTTTCTGTTGCCCCTTCCCATGATGCCAAACAGCCAATACTTTACTCGTATTGGCGCAGCTCGTGCTCCTGGCGCGTGCGCATTGCGATGAATCTGAAGGAGATACCCTACGATATCAAGCCGATCAGTTTGATCAAGTCGGGGGGCGAACAGCATTGTAATGAGTACCGCGAGGTCAATCCAATGGAGCAGGTGCCGGCGTTGCAAATCGGTAAGTGGCCCCAGTTTCAGCTTGACATAAGTAGTGTATATTATCTCGTTCGGTCTACAGATGGGCATACGTTGATCGAGTCGGTGGCCATAATGCACTATCTGGAGGAGACACGCCCGCAGCGTCCGCTCTTGCCGCAGGATGTGCACAAACGGGCGAAGGTGCGCGAGATCGTCGAGATCATTTGCTCGGGCATACAGCCGCTCCAGAACCTTATTGTGCTCATACATGTAGGTGAGGAAAAGAAAAAAGAGTGGGCACAGCATTGGATCACTCGCGGCTTCCGTGCCGTAGAAAAGGCACTGTCCACCTCTGCCGGCAAGTACTGCGTCGGCGACGAGATTTCTATGGCCGACTGCTGCCTAGTACCGCAGGTTTTTAATGCCAGAAGGTATACTCAACATTTTCCGCTCTGCTTTATCGCCACTAATCAATAATATGATACAGATTCCACGTGGATTTGCGCCCCTATCCCATCATTTTGCGCATCGATCGCGAGCTCGAGAGCAATCCGGCCTTCCGAGCTGCCCATCCCTCCAATCAGCCGGACTGTCCGCCGGAGCTGCCAAACAAATAGAATTTTCCGTCGACAACTGCAAAGCGCCGAAAAACGAAAAAGTGAATTGCAGTTCGTACAACCAACAAACAAGGAGCAAAGTAAATTGTGAACTAGGGAAGGATGACGAAACAGATTCTGTGGCCTAATTCTGGCCGGGTAAACAGAAAACTCTGCGCAGCAACAGTCGGATGTGATTTAAAAAGAATTGCTAACAGCATTTAAAAATATTTTGTAATCTATGCATAAATGCATAAAAATATGTATTTGAATAAAAATAAAAACTTTTGATTGGAATGCTAGACAAAAAGCATAAAACATAAACATATATGAATGAAACAAAGCGAAAAAAAGTCTCATGAAAATTTTTCAATTTTCCTCGGTTCTCAATGTGAAAATGATCTAAAAGATGAACTCATGTTAAAAAAAATGATTATTTTTATGCATTTTATTTAGGCTAACAAACACAAAAAAGAAAACAAAATAAGCTGAAACTCACGACGAAAAGCAAAATTCACTTCAGGGATTTAACACAACTATTTTTAGTATATAAAATAATATTATAATATATAAAAAAAACTGGATGTCAGAGTTGAGCGTGCAGTGAAACAAAGATAATTTTCGAAAAGTACAAAAGATCAGTCAACAAAACTTACCCAGCAGGCAGAGTAAATGTAAAACAAAAAAACAATGTAACGTAGAATTAAAGTAAAATTTATGCAAACATATGCAAAATATACAAAGAGAAACCAAATACAAAGAACTTACAAAAATTAAAATTTGCATTGAGTAGCCACACACATTTACGTCGCTAAATTATACTATGTGTGTTCTTCATTACACAAAAAAAAAAAACCAAAATATGCGAGTACATTTAAAAAACTTACCTACGATGGCGTATAGTATAGATTAATAAACATATTTTCCCTGTACATGCACATAGTTTAATGTAAAAAACAAACAAATTTGTGCACCGATTTGTAATCGAAGCAGCAAGGCAGATCCGGATTGGCTTGACATCCCCAAAGTACTCGTAAACTCTCGTAGTCGTAAGCTTGCTATATAAAAGTACAAGAACAAATCGAATTGAATATTATACTTAACTATACAAGAGGCATTATTGCAGACTTGTATAAGAACTAGCATCTGTTTTCACATACAAATCATCACGAACAACATGCAACATTTTCGTAACATTGTAACAGTTCCAAGAATTAATTATTTAAAAATAAACTTCAAACTAAGCAAACCGAACAATGAAAATCTCATTCTTTTACCATTACAGCGTCGACGAAGAGAAGATCCCTATATAATCTAAATTAACTTACTTCCCCTTCGGTATATGAAAAATGGAGAAGAAAGCAAAAGGAAGCTCGCAAACTTTTGGATAAATTCTCTAAAACAACCACATATCACTAAATGCGAAAAAAAATTGATTTTCCATAAAGTTCAAAGCCTGCAGCTAAGTAGTAGTCTTCATAGTCTCCGCCCTCATTGTGTCAGAGATATTATAAAGTATATCTGGTAAAGAGAATGGAACAATATGCTCTTGTTGTTCAGAAAATATCTAACCATACCATTAAGTTGGTTTTTTTTAGTGAATTCGTAGAACAACTCACCAACACGCTATTTTCGTTATTTATGACCAATTCTGATGAAACGAACACAGAGGCCTATCATGAACTACAAGAGCTGTTTTGGGACCTAATCACTCTTCAAATGAAGCTCAAATGTGATGCACGAGTCTCTAATAATACAATTTCCCCATTCTGCAAATAGGTCTTCATAATGTTAACCCAGAAACTAACACTCGTCATTAATTAGCCAACCTATATTCCTACGTTCATTCATTTAATAAGCACTTTTTCTACGGCTCCTCTTAACTTAAACTCTACCCGAAGGGTAAAGAGGCTATATTAGGTTTGTGAAAAGTAAGTAACAGGCAGAAGAAATCATCTCCCACTAAATGAAGCATTTAATCCATAATCCATATGTCTGGACGAACGACTGAATTTAGAGAATGGATGAGCCCAAGCCGATCATATTTTGTATGTAGATCTAATTCTAAATTCTCATAAAGTAAACTCTTCATATGTTATTTGGGTGAACATATCATCTAAAAATGTCAGTCATGAAAAACCACAGTATTACTTCGAGTATTGTATACTTTTTCCATCACCGTCCGAATCAATCGAGGGTCCTTTTAGCGTATTTCGCATCTTTTCTTTTGAGCTATGCTGTATGTGTAGCGTAAATATCCTTTTTGAGTTTGTTGATGGCGTCGAAATACTGATACGAGTGTAAACAATTATGCATAAATGACCCATTTCGGTCTGCCAAAGGGGGCAACAATGAAACACTGGATCGCCTTTGAATTTATAATATAATTTTTATTAGCTTTTTTGTTGTTGTTTTGTTTTATATAATCATTCTTAAATGTGTAAGGTGTAATTAATTTTGTTCATTTATTTTGGTTTTTACTCTTTATTCACCTGCCAGCTTTGCATTCTGTTTCCCTTCACTTACACATGTATCTGAACTATTCATGCTCAACGTAATAATGTCTGTGTGTGTGTGTTGGTATGTTGGTGTTCTGGTGTATACATATATATATTCTTCAAATTTCTCTATGTATATAAATATCAATACATACATGCGTGCCGCGGGGGACACATTACATAATATTACAATCGATATACTCGTACTGTCTACATCGGTACCACCTACCTAGCTTAGCTTTCATTTTATTGTTGCCGATGTCGGCCGATTTCCTTAACTGCAAAGACCATAAAGAGTTTTCGAGTATGACATTTCATCTGGTTATATAGCTATGTGTGTGTATGTATATAAATATATATATATATATGTATGTTGAGAGGAGTAACTGTGACTGGGCGTGCCAGTCGTTCTGCTTACACTTGCTTAATTATACAAGTTAATCTTGATTTTTGGTATTCTTCTTACTTTCGGTATTTTAAGTTGCAAAAAATGATGAATTTTTTTTAAAATTTGAATGAGCTACTTTAAGATAAACTTGGTTAAGGGTACCATTACCATTGCCATTCATTTTGTAACGTTGCTTCACTAGACTATGAATGTACTTAATTTTCAGTTTCTGGCGTTCGTTAGTTTATTCGAATCGGGATATCGAACGGGAGAAACAAAACTGTACCTAAATTTGTAAATCTGTAATCGTGTCCTCCGTGTGAATAACGAGTATGTGATCTCAATGCTATATGAATAATGTTTATAAAACGTTTTGCTTCGCTACTTGATTCTTCGATTTCTGAATTTTAAAAAACTTCAATTAAATATAAATTTTAAATAGAGCATCATAACTAAATATCGTTGAGAGTTAGTTTTGCTTCAAAAATTTGTTGAATTTTTTTATATGTTCTTTATTATCAATGTTATTATCATTATTATTATTAATATTATTTTATTGCATTCAGTTAATGCATAATTTTTGTTGCTGAGTTCTCGCCTCCAACTCGTTATTTGCACTCAAATGGTTTTTGTTTTTTATTTTGCTAAAATTTCATTTAAATATTTTGCTAATAACTTGTATAAGTAAAGTATTTGTTTTATTCTTTTCTTCATTCATTATCCGTAAATATTGTATCATACGCTAGTTCGTACAGGGTGTTCCACTATGGGCCCATAACCATGCCACGGGGGCTGCGGTCTCCAAATACAATAATAATTCTCATATATCGCTCCTACATTAATATTAGCTTGCTTCGTCTACTACATACATATATACGCGTCAAGGTATACTCGTATATGTACATACATCATTAATATATACTCTATTATTTTTGGTTTTTTTTTTTTTTTTTTTTTTTTTTTTTTTTGTTACACCTCCACCATAATCGTTACTTCTTTTTGTCATTATTATTATCACAGTCAAATCATAAAAGATTTAGTACTTTTACTTTTGAATGAGTTTTTCAATGATTTTCAGTTGCTGAATGCTCTGAACTCACGAGTCCGACCTAATCGTACTACCAAGACCCGGTTTCAGTTTTTATACTAAGTTCTTGGGTCCGTGGACTCGCAGCTTAGGTGTATGAAGAGTTGAGTTCGAAAAGTAGGTTTTGTTTGTTGTTGCAGTTTCTACATTGAAGTGCTTGTAATCAATTTGTTGACCTCCACCCTTGACCTCGCCTAAGAATTGCTGAGAATTTGAAAAGTGTTTAATGACAAATTTGTTCTTCTACATAAGTATAATTATATAATATTTTTATTATAAATATCATTTTATTGTGGTTACACGTTGAGCGTCGTCGCTGGACTTTGAAAACTATTGCTGGCATTGATTCTAGATGCAATACTTTTCATCGTTGACAGATTTCTAGTGTCGATTCGACGTGTAGACAAAACATACTATTAACTTTTACCATTTTTGTTGTTTTTGTTTTGTTTTTTTTTTCGATTTTTTTCTAAGGTACTCATGTATGCAACTACATAGGCTGTTGTCATTAATTTGTAAAAGACTACGATGTAAGAGAAGAAACTTAAATAAAGACTTATGCCCACAAGAGTTTGCAGGTCGAATCCAAAGTTATTTCAACTGTTTTGTACATTGTTGGATAGTTTGAATTTTAAGTTTTTCTTTCAATAGCATGACTGTGATGTTTTTTCTTTTCAATTCAGTGAATTATGGCTTAAACTTAGGCTGTCGTTTTAAATTATCATTTCATCATCCCTCTATACATACATATATAGTATAGTAATGTGTAAGGTTCGCACAAATTATACAAACATATTGCGATTGCAATTCTATCAATCCGATTTTTATACCCTGTACCCAAAGGGTAAAGGGTATACTAGTTTTCTCTTGTTGAATTGGGATCTTGGGGCCCAAACCTAGTCGAAGAAGGATGCGAAGCAAGGGAACCTTACAGGCGTGTTTCGACGACGAGAGTAAAACTGAACAGAATATATTCTTTTCCATCGTTAAACCTTTTATTTATATGAATTGATTAATTAATATTAACTGTATGTATCACACTAACAACTAATTTAATGTTTTATTGTATATACGTGTATTTTCAATATTTTACTATTTCTTAAGATCTTGTTTGGGTTTGTTTTGTTTTGTTTTGCCGTTAATACAAGTAATGCATAGAATGAACTGCTGTAGCTGACTTGATTTTCCATTTTATTATTATTATTATTAATTAGTTTGTTTGTGTTTTTTGTTTTTTTTTTTCATTTTTCCTTGCCAATAATACATACACACATATACTCGCATATGTATGTACATATATTTAAATATGCATACTTTATATGTGTAGATGTGTGTGGTTTGCATTCGACGCCTGAACACGGCTTTGTGTCTCCATAGGTTTGGTTTAGTGGCTAGGCTAAAATTGTTACTGACTTCTATACTATATATGTAACTACGTATGTACGTATGTATAGTATGTGTGTATTATGTAATTACTTGCATTAATGCATGATTCAATAATGTAATTATGTTCTTCGTTTACTCGTTAATGTTTAATGTTTAATTGTCCTAATAACAGTGTGGGGCAAAGCATAACAAATATTATAAACAAATTCCTTCTTTAAATATAACATGGATGTAGTAGGTACATATGTATGTAGTTTTATGCAGTTATGCATGTATAGTTCGCTTTCATATACTCGTATTGATAAATGATTTGATTGATAAATTGAACTTTTCTTTACAAATTTGCATTTTGTTGTTAAGTTTAATTTTTGTATTTTGTTGTTGTTGTTGTTTTAAAGAGCAAAATGTTGCAACTGATTTATTCTAGATACACGCTGCAAGATTTTCTTTGTTTTTTGTTATTGGTTTATAGTACTTTTTTAAAGTAGTGTCAAATTTAAGTATATACTCGTATGTATGTAGTTAGTTATTAAAAATGTTTGCCTTTTCTACTTTAACACTAATAGACTCCGTCGTTGAAATAACAGCTTTTTATGTTTTCTCTTTACTTTTTTTTATCATCTTTGTTATACATATATGGTTTTTATTCAATTTTAAAAGAAAACATGCGAATTATGTTGTGGATTTGCGCAGCTATGAAAAATATGCATACGTCTTTTCTAAAGGGTTCTTCGCTCATGATATCCTGCATGTAGCCAATGGGGTGATGAAAGGAAGCAGGGGGCTAGAGGGTATAGTTTAGTATGAATCGTGGTTGTTGTTGCTGTTTTTGTTGTTGTAATGATAAAATGTTGATACACATTGAAGCGAGTGGGGTTAGATTCGAAGCCTAGCACCGTTTTACACGATCACCAGAACTCTGCAGAAGGTTGGGTTTGGGCATTTGTAAGACTCGAAGGGGCGCCTTCTTCAATAAATTTTCAAAGCATGTCGGCGAGGATACTTAGCAGTGAAGCCTTACTTCCCGTTTCTTACAGCAAATAACAAACGCAAAACAATAAAATCCAAACAAGCATAACACAACTTTACATGACGTGTCGCGACCACGCCATTCACTGCCCATCCCGGGGTCCATCATTTGGTCGGCTTTCTTATCGCTAGGGACCTGTTCACGGTGTTACGATTTCAACTCCTAAATCTCACTACTCTTGAGATTTCCAACAAGATTCAGAGCTCGGAACTCGGAAGTCAGACATTAGATCTTAACACAAAAATCTGTATAGTTGCCACGATTTTAATAAATATTTCCATTTCCTGGTTCGAATTGGGGTGGATTTGGTTTCAAGTATCGTACCTACGAGTACATTTGGCGCTCATTTACTCATGCTAGCACGATACTTTTCGATACCTATCCGTGCAAGATCCCTTTGCCCACAGATTGAAAAACAAAACCTGCCCAACACTTAGGGAGTTGGAACGGACAATGGCAGTTACATTATGTTACATAAAAAAGACCGACTGACTGAACGATTTGTTGTTGATTTTTCGTGAATCTACTGAGCGCTGGTTGAATCGATAGAAGGAAAGCTGCCACGCTTGGACACACGTTAATGATGGAGGGGGGGAAATTGAATTGAGAAGTTGATTTGGTTTTGCTTTGAAAGTAAAGCTTTTCGTTTAATGCATTTAAAAAATTAATTATTTCATAATTAATTTAATGTTTTTTTCCTTCTATATATACTTTTGCTTTGTTTTCTTTTTAAATACATATCACAGATCCAGTACAAATATGTACACTATATTTGTTTATTTTCATCTACTACAAGTTTATATATTTTCATAAAACTCATACATTAAGATGTATGTATAACTCATGAGCATGTGGATGTATGTGATTGATGGGTTGACTGAATGATTGATACTGGTATTTAGTACGAATCTATGGATGCATTAGTGTATGTGAATGCGTGTCTGTGTGCGTGTGTGCGTGTGAATATAGTTGATGATAATACGGCTGATTTCGATACAATGGACTTTTTATTTGGCTTTTGTTCTTTTTGTTTTGAGTCGAGAACAGCCCTGTCTCATGATAAAACAGACGATAGAATGAACATTTGTAGTTGCGAGGGGGCGGGCACAGGTTTGTGTATTATGCTTGTTGTGATTTTTGTTGATTGCTTGAAGCTACGTTTTACTGCAGTTGTTGTAGTTAGAGATGAAGTTCTTGTTGGTAGTATTGCTTATTGATTTTATAATTGCGATTCATTGGTGTTTTTTGTTATGGTTTCTTTTATTATTTTGGTGTATTTTCACGACCAAGACCCAGCTGGGCTATAAGCTTTTAGCTTATAGCTATTAGCCTCGGTCCGTAGGTAGTCGACGGTCTATGGAGAGTTCTTAGCTGTGCTGTGGTGCTTCTCTCTTCTTTGCACGCCCTGCTTTCTTTTCTTTTAACATTTGTGTATCGCTTCGATTACGACTACGACTACGATTCATATTCATTAACAATTGTTACACGTGTCGTGTTTTACTTTATTATTTGTATAATTAGATAAAATAATGGTTGTAATTAAAACAACAACTCCTCCATTCATTTACTTTTTTGTATGTTAATGCATATTACAAGGCACACTAGCATTTACGGCTGTACTTTCAATTTATCTTTTTGTGTTTTGCTTCTGACGCTTTCCGAAACAATTTCGTCACAAGACTTCAGAAATTATGCATATCTTCCTGTTTATGTATATAGTATATATATATATTTTTTTTTAATTTATGGTATATTTTATAAATATTGCACAATTAAGAACAAATGTAGGTCATCATTCATAACAATAATAGCGAACAAATTAAAAAAAATCAAGTAAATAATAAGAACAACTTTTGAACTTAGCAATAACTTAGCATAGGATCGTGTTTACCACTAAGCTTTGAGAAAGTGATGAGCGTTTTCAGTGATTGAATTGAAATTGAAATTGAACGTAAAGTTGGTTGATTTACTGACTGGCTGACTGATTGGTTGGTTGATTGATTGACTGACTGATTGCTGATTTGACATGATAATGTTGTATTTTATTTTATTCGATTTTTAGGAGACGCTTGCAATGTTTGACGAATATTAACGGTTAGTGGTGCTGTGGTTGTTGTAATGGGTGGTGTTTGTGCTTGTGGTTCTTGGTTGTGGTTGGTTGGTAGTGCCTTGGTGAGAAGGTGAGGTTGCGGAGCTCGACTCAAAATTAAACACAGTAAACAACATGGCCTGGATTGTTTTTGTTTTTTTTTTGTTTGTTTTTTTGTAATAATCAAGTTTTTATTGAAATTTTGTTTCATTTAAACTATTTATCAAAAGAAATGTTAAACTAAATTACGTGTAAAGCATAAAATAAAACAAGAAATGTTTTTTTTATTATACAAGTAGGGTATTTCTCTATGTGTTTGTGTGTATGTATAGTATGTTTGTGAAATAGGAAACTCAAATGTGATGCTCAACAAATATGTATTTTCATTGATTTTCCATCGATGTGTGCTGGTGTGACCGGCAAACTTTTAGCGAACAGTTTGCCAAACTCAAGCAAGGCTTTGTCTTTTTGTTTTTATACTGCGTTTTATTTACAAAAGTAGTTCAAATGTATCGAAGGTTATGTGTAATAATTGCACAAATCTTAAAATTAAACAGACCCTGGAAGGTTGATGGCGCATGAAAAATTCCTAAATGTACGCGTGTTTGGGTGTGTGTGTGTGTGTCTGTGTATATGTGTTTAATTTACAAAGAGTTGTTTTTTTTTTTCATTTTTACTTTGTATTTCATTATAACATAATGTGATGCATTACCGTGAAAAAACAGAAAAACGAGTGTAGAGCTTAAACTTAGAATGTAAGAAACAAAATGATTGAAAACATACTATGTGCTGGGAAAACAGCTTGTTAACAAAATGAATAATCATAAAAATAATCAAAGGAGCAGTATTCGAACTGGCAGCTAACAAATCGCAATTTTTGTTGTTGTGAAGAAGAGTTATAACAAACAAAGGAGTAAAACAAATAAGGAGCACAAATCAAACACAAAAAGGAGACTCACGTGCGCGCGCAACACATTAACACCACATCTTATAACTATCCTTCATTTGTCATATCGTATTGGATTCAAAAATAATAATAATAACATTATCATGGTCAACATCAACAATAAGTATTGTGTAAAAGCGTTTCATAAATCCATTTCATTCATATACATACATATATACATACATATGAATTTTGAAAAAGCACACTGTGGGGTCATCAACAAAAGGAAATAGAAAACAGAAACGGAAACGGAAACAAAAACAGAAAACGTGTTTTGTAAACTTTAAACTATAAAGAGATAGGTTTGCGGAGGGGAGACACGTGTTTCATATTTCACTAGCCTGTCCTTCGCAAGTTGTTCTGCACCTTTGGGCAAATCAATTGCGAAACTCACGTGTTTCAACTTTAGTTACTCTCTAGTTCTAGTTATTTATATGTTGTGTATTTATTTATTTGTGTGTTTGTGTGTGTGAGTGTAGTAAAATATTTACCTTATTTTGACACCATTGTAAGTATTTTGTTTTAGAAAATCACCTGAAGTTTTCACTGAAAACGCTCGCTCATTATACAAAAGTTCTCAACATAATGCTAATTGATGTAAATATGTTTATATATAGTATATATATATATACATATATATATATATGTGTGTGTGTGTATGTGTGTAATAAAAACGAGACTCAACAATTTAATTGTACATACAAATATGCATGTATGGTTGACACACATATAAATATATTTATATTTATGTAGCTTTGTCGAAATGCACAACAAAAACAAAACCATCAAACAATTATGTATCTGTATTCATCATACTGGTGTATATATATATATAACTATGTGTGGGTCTATGGGCCGATTTCTTGGAGTTAGCCAGGCCCAAAAGTATCGAATAAGAAGCATGGCATATGAGCAAACCAAATGAACAATCAACTATCAAATCAAATATTAGAGTAGTTTCTCTGTAGTCCGTTTCTATAATGGTCGACTAGTTTCGGCTAATCGCCGGTTATAGAAGCCCGGAACTTCATCTGAACTAAATATTTATGTATGTATATAAATTTGCAATAATAATTACCAATTCAACAAGTGTTTGATTTGAATTAATTGTTGTTTGTTATTGTTTTCTTTTTCGATTGCTTCTCTCATGGTGTATGATGTTTTGTTTTTGCTTCGTTTTCAACATTTTCCTCTTGCTTGGTATGCTTTTTGTTAAAATTGTTAAATATTGTTTTCTCTTTACTTTTCTTTTCTTTAAATGAACATTTTATACGAAAAACGCATTATGTGGGGGGGTAATTAGTGTTGTTGTGGTTGTGGTTGTTGTGTTTGCATTTGTTTTTGCTTTCGCTTTTTAATTCACAACAGTGGTTAATGGAATTTGTCGCGCCCTCTTTGACTCCTCCTCGTTGATTTTCTGTTCAATTAGATATTGCGCTTTGGCAATGGCACTCTGCTGACCAGTAATGGTTACAATGCGATTTCTAGTGCCAGGTGCGAATATGCCCTTTTTGGAAATTTGCACATTTGCGCCAGAGGCATGTTGAATTTCAACTAAACTACGACCGTTAGGACCTGGAATATTTGCATCAAAGTGAGTTAAGTATAAGGTATATATGGATATATGGATATATGTGTGCATGTTTGTGTGTATGGTATTTGTGTATGTATATAAGTGGGTGTGTTGGTAATATCAAGTGTTACAAATACGTGTTTGTGGTTTAAACGTAAGTATGTATTAAGAAACAACAACAACACGAGGTTGCGTTACAGCTGGGCAACTTATATAGAGGTCGGTTTAAAAAAGCCATTAAAGTAAGGTTCAGGTGCCAACAACAAATAGTGTATAGAAAGCGTTTAGTAATCCTAACAGCGACCTTATCAAAATCAAACTGTGCAGACACGTGTCGACACTTAGCTATACTTGTACTGCCCCCCAAATCAAATAAGGCTGCCTACTTAGGGACCCAAAACTACAGCCCAGCAGCTATGCCGCTTTAAGGAAAATTCGTCAGAACAGTAGTATCGTGAGGGTCGAATCTATGGGCTAAGAATGAAATGTCTATTAATTAATAACTCCTATCAACTAGCTGCGAATATCGGCTGAGCAAAGCGAACTTTCGTCTTGTCTTGAGCAACGGGTTCACGACTCTGTACTGTGGGTGTGCATGGAGTGGTATTTTATGAAAGACGTGGCGTGGGGTGTTTTAGTGGGCAAGAACTTGACTAGAAATTTCGCTATATGTATATATATATTTAAGGATTTTATTGATTTTAAGAAATCGTACAAAATGCTCATGAGTGGTGCTAGCGGAATGTTTAGATATGTGAGATATATACATACTCGTACGTATAAAGCATATGTGCGAGCAAAGAGATAATCTGAAATTGCAGTACAGATTTAGATAATTGATTGGGGATCAATGATTACTATACACAATATCTTCCCGCTACAGAATTGATTGATCAAAATTGTGTCGCGAATACACCCCCAATACGATCGTAGAAGGGACAGAACAGTTGGCTGCTCATCTGCACCTACGTATGTCTGTCTCTGAATCTGTAGATTAGGGATCACTTGATCTATTGAATAATCAGCTAATCGCTACGACTTCATTTTGATTATCTGGCTAGAGCTCATCACACATCGCAATTAATGAGTCACTTGAAATGCCTATGATTGAGTGGAATGCTATTGCCTATAACTATCTATAACAGGGGCTTGCAAAAAAATAAAAAGCGGGCACAAGTGATGCAGGCAGATTATAAAGAAACGCAAAAAGATAACATAAATGGAAATATGGAATCATAGCTTTAGCTTGAAGGTTGTATAGGGTGCTTGAAAGAAAGTTGCAGTGTCGTTCTTGTTGTTTTAGTAGGGGTAATAGTAAGGTCGCCCACCTAGAACAGCGCCGATAATCACTTCGGGAACCTCGACATTCTTTGAGTCCTTGGCCCCCAGATCGCCTGGAGTGGGGCTCTTGCTTAGACCGCTCAGCGAGGCGGCGCTCAACTGGGCCGTGGTGGCCGTGCCCGTGGCCGCGGTCAGACCAAAGCTATTATTGTTCAGCGACACGGGCGTAGAGGCAGGTGCCGTAGCCGAGCCCAGGTGGCGGAATGGATCGAATTGCACCGCAGCCTCCAGCTGAGTCTGTGTCGGCCGGCTGGCAGCGGCAGCAGCAACGGCTGCAGCGGCATACTGCTCCAGATTAACCTGTCCGACGGATCCGAATACATTGCCCGTAGAGGCCGCTGAAGCAGCAGCTGCTGTCTGCTGATCGAGTGTTGTTACGCCCAGATAGTTGCCCAGTGTGGTGTGGGCTCCGTTGGCATGGGGCACGCCCACGCCCATTGTCAGTACGCCGTATTTGGCCAGCACCCCTAATGCTGCGCATACCTCTGAGGTGGCGGTCTCAGTGTAGCCCGATCCGCGCATGGCAACCTGAAATGTAAGGAAGCTCTTGATACAATGCCAAATATTGGAAAATATTTATAAGCCTTTAGACTAATATCCAGCTTATGTTGCGGAATTACGAGTAAATCCATCAAAAATAACTGCTCTACTGAAGGATGTCTTCAAGAATTGATATAACCATGGAACATGAAGTACACTTTAGAGACGACGTTCAGGTAACGTTTCATTAAAGGCTAGTCCTCCTCCTCTTTAAAAGATTTTCAAATAAACCATTGCAACTTATAATCGAAGGAATGCACGATCCGATAACTTGAGAAGTTGTGATAAGATCGAAAAGTCGAAACTGCTAAAAATGTAATCTTTGTTTCGGAAAGCATTGTTGGGTAAAATTAAGTACATCCTGACACACTAGGGGGTATGAAGCGGGAAACTCCTTCTTTTTTATAATTACTTAATTTTGAAAATGGAGGCAGTTTTACATTTTGTTGGCTTTACTCTACAACATAAGCAATTTAGCTCTAAAAGTTCTGTTTATGATTGGGCACAAACCTTAATGTGCTCCAGCAGCTGTGTAGCAACTGCTAGATTTGGAGCTGGGTTCGGTGCACCTAGATTAATAGACAAGTTGATACCCGTGCCATTGACTAGCAAACTGGCCGCAGTGGCCGCACCGCCGATTGAACTGCCCAGAGTGGTGTTTAGCGACGCCGTGCTGGAGTTGATGGCATTCTGGTTGGTGGCATATGGCGAGCCGGTGGGATTAAAATTAGCTACCGGCCCGTTCACATCAGCGTAGGAGACATTTAGACAGGTGCCCGACTGTGGATCCTCGACGATCTTTGATAGTATCATCTTGCAGGCATTTTTGTTGTTCTCCTTGTCACCAATAATGGTGATGCAGCGTTCCTGCAGAGAGACATCCTTGGGCTTCTGCGAGATCTGGACATAGGAGCCGCTCTCCTCCTTAATCTGTTTGATAAAGGCGCCGCCCTTGCCAATGATCATGCCCGCCGTGGAGTTCGGCACCAATATCTTAACCTGCTTATCGCGCTCCTGGGCCTGCTTGGACTCGGCATCAATGATGATCTTTGTGGTCAGGTCTGGCTTCTCGCGTATTTTGTCCATGATGAAGTCCAGCACCGTCATGATTCCATCAATGGAGCCGGTAATGAGGCAGACGCGCTCATTGGTGCCTGTGGTATGGAAGAATTCAATTAGTTCAAAAACAATGCAAAATAGGACCTATGGTCAGAATGAAAACATTTTCGGAACCGATTAATTCGATCAGTAATTTATATGTCGAAGTAATCTTGTCAAAAGGCCACAATTGCTACCAAAGCGTATTCGTATAATAAATGTTCATTATGTACATATATTTTTCCATTCTAAAATATGAGTATGCAATTCTTCAACATATGTATGATTTGACTACTCACCGGGATAGAAATCATGCGACTTGGACATCTTGACCCTAGCACCCGTATCCTTCTGCAACGAGGCGATTGTCTCGCCACCTTTGCCGATAATGGCGCCAGAGGCCACGGCAGGCACCAGAATCTTCATGTGATACGAAGAATCGCCTGGAAAATTTAGAATAGTTCATAGAGCAAAGGATAATTAGTAAGGACTGGAAAACAATCGTTATCTTTGTTGTTGTCTTTGTTGTTCGTTGTTGTTTATATCGTTCATATTGTTAGAGTTGTTCACTGTTTTTTTATCGTTTGGCTTAAACATAGTTTGGATTGATTAGCAGGCTTCAAATTAAAAATAATAACAGCTTTGACGACGGCGGCAGCGTTCGCCGTGATCGTTCGTTTGTTCGGCTCAGCGCTCGCAACGAGACGATGAATGTGCAGCGATAACGATAACGATTACGATAGCGATTAGTTGTTTCAATTGTTGTTTAACCTTGCCATTTGTTGTAACGAGTATGAATAGTGGATAGTGGGAGTTATGGGCGTAATGCATGCTGGTTTGTTATGTTTGACTGGTTGATTGATTTACTGACTGACTGACTGACTGACTTACACGTTGACTGTGTGTTCTACATTCGATTCGATTCGGCTGTTGTCCATGAAGCCACAAACATATTTATGGATGAGATTAAAATGGAGAATAGACAAAAATGCTTGGGACACAAAATACCAAAACCATTTATTTTCATTCGATGGCATTCGTAGCAAAAATGTAAGTCAACAATTTTGGTCAAAGGTTAATTGACATTAGTTCGTCCGCTTGTTTGTTTATTGAATCGTTTTTCTTCTTTTTTGTTTTGTTTTGTAAGGTTGCGAAATGTTTTCAATTGTATGTCAAGCTAAAGCGACTTGCTTTAAGTTAAGAGGTCGAGTAGGAGAATGGGAAATAAAGACAGAAACAAAACATACATATGTAAGTACATAAGTAAAACGTAAAACGGTTAAGGGGAAAACATTCAGCAAGAAGAACTGTTATTAACGCAAGAGTATGAGTTTCATTTTCGATTTCAAAAGATGAACTTGAATGGTATTTAATGAAAGTATGACAAAGCTTACCATGATGAAAATGATTATTGTTATTATTTTCAATTTCAACCTCAATTCCAGAACAAACTGACTCACCTAAAACGAGAAGAGAGAAGCAGAAGAATTGGTTGTTAGAATTCAATAAGAAAATTTGCACATATATTATATAATTGGTAATGCTTGGATAATGTAGTTAAATATAGTCTCTACATACATACATATGTAGCTACACACATACGCGTATGATATAAATGAGGTAGGTATTAATGAGAAAAGGCACATATTGATTGTAGAAATGGAGATGCAAATGGTTAAGCAATTATCAATTGATTCTTTTTGTTCAACACACTTGGGTCTTTGATATCAAATATTGATTATCCAAGTCCCCCAATTATAAAATATAAATACATATACAATTAATGTCAGTCTTCTTTATAATAGAACGACCTTGAAATAGCAAAACTATTTATGACCGGTTTATATGCCTTCACATGGTATTGAAACTTTTATTTGAAATAAATACTGATAGCCTTACTTTATACAAAACAACAAGGTTTCAGCTACATTTCAAAGTTGTCTGAAGTAATATAATTATTTTTTATGGACCACACCAGGTAATGAAGTATGTAATACCAATACTAAGTATGTATGTGTGTGTAGGATAAATTGAATTTGTATGTATTAATCTTTGTAAGGGACCCTTCATATACTTTTAGTTGAGAGGAATAATTGAAATAATTGAATCAAATTAAACAGTTCTACATATTTAAGAAAACACCAACGCAAACCAACATTTCTCATGTTACAAACTTAAACGACAGTCGTCTGAGGTGCACGAACCAGATGAACTTTTCACAGACTAATTTTATTTTCAAATTGGACACTCTAAGCTAAGAAAAGTATAGGTTGCCATTAAACTGTATAGAAAACATGTAAGCCCATCTTGTTAAAAATCAAGAGTAGGGAGGAAGTAAGCCTAAGCTCAGCAATTTATTTCGAGGGCTGTTGGAAAGTTTTATAAATTTCGGTGCTCTAACTTGATGTTTATTGTACGTAGACCCCACTGTAGAGTCAAGAATTGCCTCTTGCCCCGGCTGGTGAGCAAACAAACAAATTTCAATTAATAAAATGTGTCAAGCGGAGAAGCTCTATTACACAAACGACCGTAAAAGTGACAACACAAAGAGTGGAGGCACAAGCTCGTTGCACCTGACTGGCTGTTCAACTATCCGCATGCCACACTAGTCAAATACATCCCCCCCGCGCTCCCTGCTTGGAGCGCTCGACTTTGTTGCGTTTATTTTTAGGTGCCCTGCCAAGTCGCACGTTTCTCGAAATGTTGAATGTATGCAAGGCGTTGACGTCGTTGACGGCGTCTTATTGCCACTTGCCACTCAAACAAAGTGTCCTTCAAAAGTATTTCTCTAATTAGATACAGCGGCAAACTGAAGCGACACACAAAGCTCACAGATGTGTCATCTGTCCAGTCTGACATTGCACAGACACTCGTACATACATACACGTATGTGTAAGTAGTATATTATTCATATGGACTTTATACGTAAGTACCATTTACAGTAGACTCGCACTTACTTGGCATTTAAAATATGTATTTATTCGAAAAGCAAAACTGCGCCAATTTCATTTTAAAATTCCGGTTCTCACTCGGAAAAGTAAAGCAAGTGGTTTTCACTTTTTATTTTCGTTTATTATAATCTATGTATTTAAATCATTTATATTTGAAGCAGATTACTGAATACCGAAAGCGTACTACTTTAAAGGATATAATTATCCCCGCATCGAGAAACATAATTAGCGAGTGAGATGAAAATAGGACCGGAAAAAAGAAACAAATATAAAATAATAAGTGTATTCATATAATTCAATAAAAATATTTATATATAGTGTATTTAAAACGAGATGCACTCTTCTACTAAATATTTGAGCCAAATCGAGTATTCACGAGCTCACTGTATTTGTGTATTTCGATGTACATATTGGCAGTCGCCCTAATTTGCATGCATGTGTGGAAATGCGATTTGCTAAGAATGCCGAAGCATGAAAATGCGAAATGCACAGCCTCTGACAACTGAACAAAAAGGTGTAGTCATAAAAATGTAGCTACAATCTGCTGCTGGTTTCCGCCACTGCTGGCAATATTTAATTGAAATTCGTTCATTTTTGGTCAGACTGAAAAATCACGGCACTGGCGGAACAGAGGCGTCTGTTATCGGTTTATCTTAGAGAAGGGAGAACTTTGTTGTGAAGGAAGAAATTTCAGAAAATTATGCAACAAAAACACACAAATTCAAATTTTCCACACACACAATAAATTTGACGCAGAGCGTGCAACAAAGCTAATGGCCAGAATAAATGACTTGCGGGGAAAAACTGCAAGCTACACTACGAAAACCCAAAATGAATTTCTAAAACAAAACGCTCGCCTTTTATGAGCCACAAAGGGCCAAGAGCGATGGCCACCGCAGCTTTCGCAGCAAGCAGCTGTCTTCTTATTGTTGATGTTGTTGTTGCTACTACCATAGCTACTGCTGTTGTTGACACTGAGCCGCAGCAGGATCGCCGGCAGCGATTTGAATTATATCGTTGTCATAAATAACACTTGAGCGCGCTCCGGCAGTTTTTGCCTTACATTCATGCATACATACATATGTACATACTATATATCCCTATATCCATTGAGCTGAACTGTTGTTGTTGATGTTGGTGCTGTTATTGTTGTATCTGCTGCAAGTACTTATGACAAAACACCACTTAAATGGGCGTTCGGTGGGCGTGTTTACGCTAATTTCGTATGCATTGTGCAGTACCATGCAGCCGGGAATCTAGGCTAACGACACAACCAAGAGCGCAGACTCGGGCTCCGGCGGTATCTGCGATGTTGGCGCACTAAATAGTCGCGTGACACTGCACACAACCTCCCCCCACTTAACATTTCTGTTAGGCAGACAGACTGTGAAACAATTCCAGTAATCGTTTGCACCACATTTTTTATTCCCTGTTTCATTCCGAATGAAATATTAAAATAAAGAAATCTGGGCTCAGCAATCGCAGTTTTGGTGACCCCAAAAAATATGTGAGCATCGAACGTTTTGATAAATCGACACATATGCACTAACTATACAATACAACTTTTGCCAGACACCATGTCCATGTTGGGGAAAGAATGCACAAAATACATGCCAGAATTCTCCGATTGTTTGACATATTAAAAAAATAAATTTTTTGTTTGCAAGCCAATCGTAATTACTTAATTACTCATTTGTCTGCGAATTTGTTTACCTATATATGATTACAGATCCGAACAAAGAAAAGGATATGCTTAAAAAACCTAATCAATATCTGTGCTTCATGACATTTACCAGCAGTGCTGGATACGAGGAGCATTCAATTTGCTGGGGACCGAAGCCACTGTGCCCTAAGTGCCTCTTTTGCATATCGCATGCTCACCTATACAGATTCGAAAGCACCGGCCCTCCGTGGGGCAATCTGCACAGCACGCGAGTTAGTTGTATGTTGTACTGGAAAGCAAAGCTAAGTGGCCGGCTGACTGGCTGGCTTAGTCACGTATTCGTTAGCACGTACTGCCACATGGCGTATGCGTAATGTGCAAATGCATGCCCAATTTGAAAAATTTGAAATGGTGCTCTAAACGGACAAGTGCACAAAGAGACGGCCCAACGGGGGGCAGCGCAGAGTCAACAGCTGTTCGTGCTGTTTCTGCTGCCACTGTGTCGTATGCGTAATATTCGGCTTGCGTAAACATTCGTTGGGTGTGTGTAATAATTTCGATGGCTTGCTTAAGCAAATCACCACACACCCATTGTACATACTTATACATATGTATGTATGTATGTAAATATGTATGCATATATCTACCTACATTATAAAATTACCAAGTCAAAAACATATCCACAATTTTTAAGCGGACTGTGGTATTTGAACATAAATCAAATGGTCTCTTTATGTGAGGATGTGTTTCTCGGGTGCGTATGTATTGGTGTCTGCATGTAAAATTGATTGAAGCAAAATGTTTAACAAATGTGCACAAATGTGACACACACACGCACGCACACACATTCACACCCACATAAAAGTAGAGCGTGCGATTAGCATATGATTTTTCTATTGATTTTGATTTCTTTTTATATTTTATAATTTACACTTGATTTGCGTGAGTGTAGCCGTGAGTGTGTGTGATAGTGTGATGGCCGAGTTAAGGTATGCTTGATAATACTCGTATTTTATTATTTTGAATTAATGTTTCAGTATTTTTAGCCATGTATTAATACAACAGTCTTTGTCTTTTTATTTAGTTGAGCGCACGCTCGTCTTTAAATTGTTGGCAGCTTAATTTATTTATTTTCATACTATATATATATACATGTACGTATATATAGTATATCTAATTTTTCTCTGTTTTTTTGGTAATATATTATTTGTGAATTTTAAATTAAAATCGGTTTTTATGTTTTGCAGCAACACGCGCATGTTGCAAATGAATGAGGCTGAGGCTGAGGCGACGGCAGCTACCAGAGACACTGAAGATGATGACGTGGTGATTGATGCAGTTGTTTTTGCTGTTGTTGTTGCTGATTCTTGTGGAGAGAATAGCGAGGCGCGAGGTTATACGATTAGGGTTCGAGTTGGTGGTGTTCGTAATGATTCGTGTATATATATAGAGGTTGTTTGTGCGCAACTGTTTTTCTGATTTCTGATTTCTGAATTGGAATTTGTTTCGATTTGTGTCTGACTCACCATAGCACCAACAGGAGGAGTTTTTGTAGTTGGCTGCAGCCGAAGCTGCAACATTGTTGCCAAGCTGCGGCAAATGTTGCTGGTGATGATGTTGCTGCTGTTGAGGCGTGCCTGCTACAATTGCAGTTGCTGCGACCGTCAGGGGAGGAGTGCTGGCATCGGGCGTGACATTGGCCGATGTGGGCGAGGCATTGTGGCTACTCAGTGCTGGCTGTTGCAGTTCCATCTGTATGTGATTGTTGTATGGATGATGAGGTTGAGTATTGTCTAGATTAGCACTGCTTTGTGCAAGTTGCAGCTGTTGCTGCTGCTGCTGCTGTTTATAGTTAAGAACAGCTAATGAGTATGCAATGCTATTGTTGTTATTGCTGCTGCCACTACTGATGCTAATACTGCTGCTGTTGCTGTTACCGCTGGTCAGTGAATGTATTGATGAGGGCGACGATGATGTCGCTGTTGTGCCTGTTATTGGTGCTGTTGTGGAATGCTGTCGTTGCGATTGTTGCTGTTGCTGCAGATAGTTAAAAGCTAGTGGCGACATGTAGGAGGACGAATTTGTTGGGACATGTTGCTGGTACTCGTATGCGAGATGTTGCAGTGTCGGTGATGTTGTTGTTGTTGTCGATGTGCTGATTCCTGTTGCCGATGCATACAAGTCAATATGTTGCAATTGCAGGAGCTGTTGCGCTGCCGTATCAATGGCATTTACAATACTTTCCATTGTGTGCATTGCACCCTTTCTGTCTGTGTTTATTTCTTTTCGTAAATTTTGTCTGATGTTGCTGAAGTTTTGATGAGATGCTGCTGCTGCAGTTATGGTTCAGTCTTCTTCTTATCCGCACAGAGCTGTCCATGCGACGACGGAATTATTGTTGCAGTTGATTGTTTGTTTAGTTCTTTTGAATTCAATTATTTAAATATCAGAGTGATCTTTGTTGCTGCTGCTCTCTAATCTACTTCTACTCGTAAGGCTGTAGCGAATTTCCAATTCAAAATGTCGTATATATAACGAAACGTAACGAAAAGAAAAGAAATAGAAATCGTTTTCAATTAAGCTCATTTCAATATAGTTTCGAATTATTGATGGCTTTTAAGCGGCTGCATTACACACACAAAACACGTTGATTGTGACTGGGCACGTGAAGAAGCTTAAGAGGGTTTTTCACAAATTCAAAGAGAGCGAAAACACGTACGAGTTGGCAGGCCTGCTGGTTGATTAAAGAAGCATAGTTAGGCACCACACTTACGATTGAACTGATCTTGCGATGTACGAGTACGAGTATAGAGTGCTGCCGACTTGTTTAGTATTTGTGTACATTTTCTCTCTCTTTGAATGTGTACGCTTGATTGAGCTTGTTAGATTGAATGCAGTTGTAGGCTGTGCTGACTTGACTGTTCATTTTGATGGGCGTGCTTAGTAAGTATTTGACAATTTTTACAGTTCAGATAGAGCGATATTATTTGTTTTAGTTATACAAGTATATGTAGATAGAGAGAGCGCCATTTGGTTTAGTATTTTTGGGATTGTTTTGATTGATAGGAAAAAAGTTGTTAATCTGTTGCAGCACGCTTCATGACTTAGTTCTTGTTGTTTTATGGGCGTTGTTGGTACGTGGAGAGTGTGGGAGTACGTGGTGTGTTCGCATGGTGGGCGTGGCAATGTAGTATTTGAAGGTGGGTGTTCTATTACTGCGCGTTTTTTATGGTTTATAGTAATTAAGAAGTAGGCAACAACGATTACATCGACAACAACAACAATAACGACCGAAAATTCGTATAGAGTGATAGTATATTTATAGAAGAGAGAAAAAAGGAGATAAAAGGGAGAGTATAGATTACATCGATTTATGAAGCAGCGGCAACAGCAGCAGCATGTCGATCTGGTGGCGTAGTCGAAAGAGTAGTATTGTTGTTGATTGAAGTGCTTGATTGATTGGTTGATAGGCTTGATCGATTGCCGTATGTGTTGCGCATTGACCACAGTTAATGATTTTATTGTAGAAAACAATAGTACAGGTAGTAGTAGTAGTAGTATTTGTTGGTCTTGGCTGATGAATAATGTTACTACATTTTACGTTCTTGCTCCTCAATTGATGGCATTTGATTGATGACAAATATACGATTACGTATATGAATATATATATAAATATATATATTTATATAGTAGTATGCATGTTTGCAGTAGGCTTTTGGTGCTATAGAGAGTATGTCCATGTATATAGTATAAGATATAGTAGTTGTTAATGACGATAGTTACACAACATCCAAAAATGTAATGGAAGGCGTTTACATTTAGAAAACAATTCCAAGTATTTTACCATTCACTTGTATCCTCTCCAAGCTGCGGGGGTCGAGGGGAGTGCTGTCGATCAGAGTTAAATAGAGTTGTGTCGAGTGGAATAAAGTGGAGTCGATCCAAGGATTATTGAGTTGAGTGCCGTAGCGCAGAGTTGAGTTCAGAGTTTAGTTCAGAGTGGCGTTGAGTTTCTAATACTGCGATAGCGATGTAGCTGCCTTGCTGGAGAATTGTGAAAAGATTTTGCGAGCTGGAGCTATGAAGATTGTGCTGAGCTGCGTTGATTGACGACTAAGTCGTTTCAGTCGTTTTATGGCATGTGATTGTTTTTTTTGTGAGTTTTTTGCTTGATTTGTTAGAGTTCTTTTTGCATTTTTTGTTTTTCTTTATCACAACATTACTTTAAGTGTTTTTCGTGGTTGGTTATATGTAGTTTTTAGAGCTCTCTTTGCTGCTTATCACATTTCATTTCATCGAGTTATTTATTGCATTTGGGCGAATGCTGCTACACGTTTCGTTTGAGAGTAGAAGAATTCGGGAGTTAAATATAATTTGCCATGATTTATGTTTATCGCTTCGCAACATTATTACTATTTTCGTTATTTGATTTAATACTTGTATAGTTATAGCTAATCGCACGCTTGCAATGTTACAACAACAACTACTTCTGATATGACGAATTTGAAACCGAGCTTTGTGTGTTTTTTTCATTTGGTTTCATTATGCGGCAAAAGCCATTTCATTACGCATTACATATGTTTTTGTGTCTATTTGTTACCTTTTCCATTCATTTATAAGTACATCTGGAATTATTGCTGCGCTATGGTTCTTGGCAATTACAAGCACATTTATGTACACATATGGTATTTATGTAAGTATGCAATATGTTTATGGATTTCGATGACAAATACAATATAAAATGTAAAACCAAGGGTAACTTGAGCTGTGAACAAAATGTATGAAGTAAAGCAATCGAAATTTTTATTTCTATGACTGATTTGCTAATGCATAAATGATGTTGAATGATAATGCCGAAAAAATGGTAAGTTTCTTTATATGTATATAATATACATAGTATACGCAAATAATTACTAGTAATACATAATTCCCGAATACCACCTTATCGCTTAACTAGCCCAGAGCCTTGTCATGTAACCTATATAATACGATTGATGATTATTTCACTGACTTGTTAGTGGCACGAAGTCAATATTTAGAAAAAGTCAATAAAGACACTCATGGATCTTGATAATAAAAACACCATTTACTATATTTCGTTATTATTTTGTTGTACAAGTATTTCGTTTCTTTTCCCACTATTTATTGATTACGTTCGGTTTAAGAAAAGTACGGAAATAATGGGTTCGGTTTACTTTGTTCTAGATCTTCCAGATCTATGTATAATGCATAAGAGTGGTTTTTGAATCTATAAAAATGTTCTGAGTGTAGCTGGACAGCGCTGAGCGTGAAAAACTAAGCCCTGTTGCCCAATTAGTTTTGCCTCAACGAAAACGATATGTAGAAATTCTATTTTTATCACAAAAACCTCCGGTAATTTTCCTGTAAATTAACTTACATTTGAACACAAGCTAAATTACTGCTGATAATTTTAATGACCAAATACTAAATGACTGTGCAACTGGACGAGAAAAAAAACCATACTTATACGTCTATATATATATATATATTTCAATGCATTTAAATCTGATCAAACGACGTGCACAAATAACGTGAAAATAATGAACGAATATGATTTAATAGTTATATAAGCAATATGTAAAATGAAAATGTATTTAAATGCCTCGACACATAAACACACTGACTAAATAACCTTCTGCTCGCTCACGTGGTCGCTGAGCGACGCACTTTAACCCGCTGGATGATTAAGGCTGCCCCTGCCCAACTGAACCGCGTGGCCGACTGATGCGACTGCGACTGCGACGATTAAAACAGACAACTAACCCCATTAAACAAAAAGCGACGGCGCTCAATCTGTTGCCGTAAACCAAAGTGGCCAGCGCACAAAAAAACAAATAGAAAAACACGACACGAGTGTAAATAAATTAACATACACATGAGTGTATGAATGTATGAGAGCATGTGTTGTGTGTGTATGTGTACGGTCTTAAAATGCAAAGCGCTGTTCGCTACAAAGTGCAAGGGTACAAAAAAGTGGGCGTCTATGTCGGTTGTGCCGCTGGCCATGTGTGAGATCATCTAGTTGATTTTGTTGCTGCTGTGATATGATGTGTGGTTTTTTGTTGTATTGTGGTTTGTCAGCCCTTTATCTTTCTCTCTCTTTCTCTCTCGCTCTGTCTCTCGTTTTGTTCCTAAAAATGTTTTATCACAAAAATTGACTAACTGGCACGGCTCTCATGCCAACACCCCCGAAAACGACCAACTGAGTACGAAGATATGACTATCAGATGACGTTGGGTCCGCTCAATGCTTATCCGATTCAACTGCTCGAAGTCGTTTGGGGTTGCCACACACAAAAATTTACAACTTGTTGGCAATACTCGGCATTAGGCTGAGCCTCTCAGATTACACAATCAGCCTAAGTCGAACAAGATATTCAGTTGACAAATTCGCTCTTCCGTCTGTCTTCTGTCCAGCTAGCTTCACTTTGTCGGTAGTTGAGAGGATGGGCATGTGTGAGATTTCACTTTATTCAAATGAAACGCACAACAAGATTAACGACAAGAATCGAAACCTAATAAGCAAATATTATAAACAGCCATAGACAGTATACAGACATTTACCGGATAAGGTAAACGATTCCCATGGTATAGATCAATAAACATAGATAACATCCATGTTAATGTATCCGTAAAAAATCTGTAATATACATAGTTATCTATGCTTACAAATCCTTGAAATCTAATACGATACAATTAAAGGTAGTAGCAAAACAGCCTCTCTTTTTAGAAACCTCTACATATTAAGAATAATGAGTGAATTAAAACTTGATTTATGTGAATATTTATGAATAGTCGAAAACTGCTTTTAAATTCTGTTTTCAGATTAGGAGCAACCACATTTATATATTAACCTCCGCACGTGAAGTCTCTGTTTTTATCGGGGGCTTACTGTCTTTGAAAAGAAAAGTAAAATGCCCACACGTACAAGTATTTGCGCGGTTTGTGACTGTCTGACGTCTGCCTTGATGCCTCTGGCATGGGTATGAGTACGAGCATGATTTTTATTTTTGGCTTATTCACAACTCATTGATGTGTGCAGATATACAGGTACATGTATATACATATGTATGTATGTATGTATGTAGATACTCGTATATACAGGTGAGGTAAGTATGCCCACACACAATCAATAGCTTTTCAAGGTTAAGTTGCTGCCGTTTGCTTCCCGCATTTTTGTGAAGTAGCCAAGTCCAAGTGCTTCTATTATGACGGCTCATTCCTCAATTAAAGTCGGCTGCTGAAATCTATTAACGCGAAATGCGTGACTCTTGAATGAATTACGACGTTCCGTTGGGTTTTTGATTTGGAATTGGTTTCCAAATAAGTATCTTCTGATAGTGCGCCCAAGTGCTAAACGGTGGCCGTTCGTTTGGTTAGTCGGGCCGATCAGTTCATGAAACACATGTACAATAGGTACGTCTATTTTGTATATTTGTGGATTCGTTTGTGTCGCTGCTGTAGCTTTTTGTATAATCATTTTGTTGACATTGAACTGAATTTGTTGTTGCTCATTTGGTTTGCCCATTCGTTTGCCTCGACGTTTCTTTTTTACATATGTACATATGTATGTATACATATGTGTAAGTTTTTATAAATTTATTTCACATACTCGTTTCGCTAGTCGCCTGTCAACGTTTCTAATTGTTGTTTTATGTACGTATGGATGTGTGTATTACGTGTGCCTGGGACAGACAAACACACAGCGTTACGCTTAGGGCCAAAAGCGAGGTGAGCTCATGGCATTTTTAGGCACCTGGATGGAAAGCACATTGACGATATTTTTGGCTGGGAGAGCACGAAGAACAGTTCGAGCACGGCTCGCCAGTTTTACACAATTCTGCGGGCCAAAACAAATTTCGGATGCTAAAACGCTGAATGAACAGAAGAACAAACTGAACAAAGCATATTTGAGATAAATACAGTTAGAAGTATTTGCCGAAATAGCTTACGAAAGGCGAGAAATGCGAGAAACTTTTATCTGGCACGTCATGACCTTCGCAGTAAGAAACAAATACCAAACAAGTTGGTAATTACATGCCTCAACACAATACGTATACGCAGTGTTGCCGAAACTTGCCATAATTTGTGAAAAGTGCACGCAACCAAATGTACAATAATTATTGGACATATTGTTATTGTAGAGGTGGGGGTTGGATGGTGATGTGGCTCATGTGATGCAAAAACAAATCAACACAAATAGAAAAAAACAACACGTATACGGGGTGGGGGCGCTTCACTATACACTGCCTAAAAACGAGATAAACACATATTTGCTGATACAGTTTCACATGCGTGTGTGTGTATGTGTTTATATGTCTGTATGTGTGTTGTGTCATTGTGAAAAATTGCAGCCACGGCCCACGAGCACGCTAATTGTCAAGGTCGATGTGTGTACTTAGCTCTGAGAGAAGTTGAAGAGAAATTGGCAAAAACTTTCTTGACAATTACAATAAATGACAAAGCGAGTACGAGTTTTCAAGAATTTGAATCAGATATTGAATCTCACTTAACACGTACATAGAAGGTGAAGATGTTCCTGTTGCTGCTGTTGTTGAGTTCTGGCAAATAACATTTTGGCGCTGTTGTTTAATCAGCAGCGGCAAACTTTTATTTCACTAACAAAATGGCTGCAAAATGGCGACGATGAGCAACGAGCGCACGAACGACAACGACGCGCACTGAAACCGCACTGAAGCACACGCTAAAAGCTGCGAAGAATTTTTCGGCCGTAGAGTGTGGCGGATAAACGAAAAAAAATAATAATAACGAAAAAATTAACAAACCAACAAAAAAGAAACAACACGGAGACTGAGTCAAGCGAGCTTCAAGCGTAGAGTTGGCAAGTGAGCGAGAGACATAGATAAAAAACAACAGAGAGTAAGCAGGAGAGGCGAAGAGTAGGAGAAAAAGAGCGAGAGAGCGGTTAATGACTCACTGATCATGCACGCACACAATCACAAAGCAAACTATTAGAAATGGAAACAACATGCGTATGCGTAAAAAAGAGAGCGAGAGCGTGTTTTTATGATCTCATAACCAATAATTGTTGTTGTTGTTGAATTTTAGAGCAATGGCTCAGTCTTTATCAGCAAGTGCGGGAAATGGTGGCGTGCGTGCGACAAAAATAGAAGGTATGTGGCAACACTTGTTCGATTGCAGCATACAGATAAGCCCGGCAACGTGGACGTGGCAAGTCCTCAATTCCACACATAGAAAACTTCTTTAGTGCGAGAGCATTGGGCCGATTCGATGACACACTAGAACGCCACCCTATAATTACGTTGAGCAATTTGGCCAGCCACCT